ACATCTCTGATAATAAGTGGCGAGGATATTGATTGGGAATGAGGGCCTGCTACAAAAATAGTAATTTCGTAGTTATTTAAGCTAATGAGCCAACTACTTAACATAAATGGAACAAAAATGTCAACTGTGTTTTGCAGTGTGAAGGTTAGATTGCATGGTGGATTTAATGGTGAACTATTCCTGTTATCTAGCATCATATTTTAATGTCTTACTCCTTAACAAGCATTTGGGGCCATATCGCGTGTAAATTGTAGCTTCTTGTCTGCCAGCACAGCAGCAGAGAATTTATTTTGACAGAATACAATAAAACCCAGAAACAGCTAGTCTGGTTAATGATTCACCTCTCTTCTATTCACATAAAACATGAGAAAAAAACAGTTTCCTGCCAGCACAAGAGTAAATTTTACAAGTCTGACAACACTAATCAGCACAACAAAACACTATATCAGTCTAAATAAATAAAACAAGTGATTTTTCTTGATTCCTTTTATGAGGTTTTACAGCAGCTCTTATATCACTCATGAATTATTTGCATTTCTTGCATTCTTAATATGTCTGTGCTCTCATGGGCTTAACAGAGATGAAGTTATTCGTGAAGTTACTGAACATTCAGTAATATATAAATAATGTAGATAGGCTTATAATAAATATGCATCAAGGCATCAAGCATCAAATGTATGCATGTTGAAATAAACAAGCTTCTTTCAGTCAGCACTTAAAAATAGTGCACTCTGCCTTTGGATGATCTTCAAGGAATGTGAGGAATGCAGTATACCTACAAACAAAACCTGTTCTTGTGTATCTGTTTGTTTACTAATAATCTTTATATTGAAATAAATATAAAACATGAATCTTCAATTTAACATATTTAAATTGATTCAGTAATGAATTATATTCCCATGTCTGCCAATAGATCCTACTAAATGTCACATAATGGACCTTTAACTGAATTTGGACCAAATATTTAGTCCCTGTGTTCTCTCCCTTTATAGGATAGTGTAGTTTTGTGATTTTCTTTTCAGTTAAATGCTGGTCCTATTTTGCTTGGCTACTACCGTCAGACCCAATCTAACCATTCCGCTTCCAGTCTCATCTGCACAGCTGGCCTGTATGACATGAACTGACATGACATGAACACAATAGATACAAAACTTGACTGCAGCTGCACAGCACTGGGAGAGCTCTACTCGCCAGCCAGGAAAGAGGTGTTTTTGTGGCCGGAGGGAACCAAAGAGCCGTGGGTGTCCGTCTGATGGCTGTGGGGAATCAATAGAGACTGTTCAATGAGTAACACAGTGCCGGCTCAGAACAGGGCCATGGGCGCCGCTAATTGCTCTTGCTTTGTTTGCAATTAGTCCAACATTCTGCTGCTAATGTGATTAGGTCACTTTGGACAAGAGCGGCTTTTGGCAAACACCTCCAGAGGAGGATGTGTTTGACGTAAATGTGAAAACTCGGCACTACTCCATCCGTCCACTCAGAGCGGGCCTGTGAAGTCTGGGCTGGAGAATTGGATCAAATCATATCAGTGTTTCAGCTCAGCTGCAGTATTTGTTGGGAAATATCAAGTTGTGGAAAACCAGCTTGCAGCCTGAGAATGTGAGAAACACAGTAGCCCATCTCCAGAAGGAGACGGGGTATTGATATTGTGAGCACGCCAGATACAAGATATTATATGGCAACAGCTTCAGTTAACATGGCAGGGGATTTTTCAAATAGCCATAAGAGGCACACTGTCATGTTAGAGGAATATTATCAGGGAACAAACAGCGGCTCCTCCTCCACCCCGAACTTTACCCGAACACTGTACAAACATTTAGTTTTTGCGATAGATGCCATGTCATCACAGACTCAGCTCTGTGCCATGTCTGTGCAGCCACTATTTATAATGAAAAGGTGAAAGTAGGGGTTATTTCATTTGAAAATATTTTTTCTCTCATTTGTCAGGTGATGAAATCTTTTCTTGGTGCCTGGCGTCAGTGCCACCGGAGTCTCTCCTTAGCTCCCTTGCCGATACTGTATTGACACATGCTATCTAAACAGTCAACTCTATTAGCAAACATGCAGGAATGTCAAGACGCAATGATTATTCAAGATGTTATCGAGCATTTTGAATCTTGATGGCAAGCTTTTTTTTCTGCCTTTTACAAATGAAAAGTTGAATTTATAATAATTCCCCAGGAATTCCCAACCCTGCAGCTTTAAAGCCAAAGTTATACTGAAATGCGAATGAATTGCCCCCAATAAAACTAGTGTGTAAAGGCCTTAATCTTTCCATTAAATTGAAAAAAAGAACAACAAAACTGGTTCTGGTAGGTTTCCACAACAGCCATATGTATGAATGTGACACATGCATGAAGGCTTCTTTTTTTTTTTTTTTTAAACCAGCGGTTATCAGCTTTCCTCTCACTGCACACAGTCAGTGAATCGCCTGCCTTTGTGATCTGGTCAGCTTGGTGATACAGTGCACATTATTCCCTCTCAAACCTTTAGTGAATCTGGGCCACAATGTCCATATTGACGCACGTTAACAAAGGCTCCTCTCTTCCATGTGTACATTTCTTCTAGTGGCAGTGAAAAGCAGGAGATACAGTTACCTCTAATGAGGAACTGACTTCACACCCCATTGGTTGTTCTGTCTACCTGGAATCCAGGACACTATAGCAGAAACACCACGAAATAACCTCAGTGGGAAATTCATGCAGTACAAGAGAAGTAAATGTGCCTGTAGAAGAAACATGCGCATCAGTCTCCATTCGCAGCAGCATGACAAATTATCTGCTGCTGTTCTGCTTTCAGTGCTTTCAGGGAGTAATTGAAAGTTGCATGACACACTCTTCCTTCGCCTGAAAACACATTAAGTGTGTTAGGAAAGAAAGGGATATGTGGTTTACTGAGGGGAAAAAAAATCTACAAAACAGGGTTACCACAGGCCATTTCAAAGAGGAACAAAAGCTATGGACCTGTATGTGCTACATGAAAAGACCTGCCCGTCTCTCTCTGTACATGTTGTATTGAGTCTATTCACCAGGCCCATGCTAATGAACAGAGAAACTGATGTAATGTGCAGTACAAGAAATGTTTTGGCTAATAAAAGGAGATTAGGGTGAATCTTCTCACAGCTACTCTGTACCACCAGACTCTCAGTCAACATCAGACACTGCCCTGAGCCCAAAGGCTGGACTCCACTTCTTTAGAAGCGTAATGAAACGTAGCAGTGACACTCTGGCCGACATAATAGGTTTTCTTCCCCTTCCTTGTCGTGGCTAATTACGAGTGGAAAACAGGCCTGGCTAAGATGGATGTATTTTTTTCTCAGTTTAAAGGCAAAGCTGTTTCCCCATAGTCTCTTTGCCTCAAGCAGCAGCTCAGTAAGTTGACACGAGAGCACAGATACACGCCTGGACTCAAGTGGACCACTCAGGCCCATTGGGAGTCAGTCAGGCACATGACAGCTCCTGCAGAGATTGACGGATTGAAAGTGAACACTTGCTTGATGGTGTGTTCTATCAAACAATTAACAAAAAGCAAAAAAAAAAAGGGAATTTCTATGGGTCTGCAAATGTCTGGAAGGTGTGTTTATTCACTTGAGGTTTGAAATGGTTGTTGGGTCTACAGATGGCACAATGTCCCATTTGCCTTTTGGGAAGGGACACTACGTAACTTCTGAATGACATAATTGCTCATTCTTCTTCTCACAAATTGAAAGTTGAATTTATGAGAAATTAAACATACCCTTGCCCAACTTGATACAGTCAGAAACTTGAAACTAGTGTCAGTCTTTTTATCTCACTCTTGCAATGAAGCGAATATATGTATTTCCAAAAATATCTACCTATTCCTTCTCATTGATAACATAATTTACCTGAAGGTAGATTTTTATAGTAGGTTGTTTCCTGATCCTGTTGGGAGTACATTTGCGCTCTCCTAGAGGATTAAGAGTCTCAGTAGCATCATGTCTACCCATTAAGCCAACTAAAGGGAGAAACGCTGCAGTGTTCAGATAAACGACTGCAGAGCTGAGGCACGTAACTCCTGCAGTGACTTCCTGGGGGGGGTGAAGGGGAGCATGATGCTTGGTGTCTTAATTGGATATCGCTGTAGTGCTCAGTTGTGACGCACCAGGGGATGATAATATTATATATAATAAGCAGCGGAGAAGGGTTTGCGTGGCCTTGTTGTTGAGACGAACCGAAAAGACGATGGGATCTTGGCTTCTGGATGAAACTGGCAGACTGCTGCTGGGAAAGACAAGTAGAAGCTGTAGAGATTTGGTCACATTTTGACTGGCAAATATTTGTTTCAGTTTCCAGACCTCCCTCTAAACCTCTTGCATTACATTTCATAGTCCACAATTCAAACTGGTGTTTACAGGCACTTTTACTCTGGCCAACAACACACGGTCTGTCTGGTTTGTAGCTCTGTGTGATAGACAGGTAATGGCCTCCTAATTCTGTCTGAATGAAGGAGATCAACATTTCCATTTGGCTGATTACTTGTTGATGGTAAACCATTAAGAGAGTGAGTCACAGGCCTGCTGGGGATGTTTTTTTTTTTATTTGTGATAAAGGCTGATGGTGTAAAGAGCAGGCTAACCAACCCATATGAGAGAAGCAGCTAATGATGAACTTTGAGAGCTGATGTTTCATCCTGAAGGCTGGTTGAACTCTTCTTTTATTAGCATTTAGATGAGAAGTGGCTTGGATCTTGTGGCCTCTTGATGGTTGTCCACAGCTGATTAGCTATTGAAGTAGACATGTTGTCAGTGGATGTGCACATTAGGACAGCAGGCTGATATAATCAGAGTCATTATAAACTGATGGTCATACACTTCAAGTTTACTTTTCATGGAGGTGAAATCCACACTCAAGGCACAAACAATATTCAATATAACATAATCATATTATTCTACCTAAATTTTACTAAATATGTTCATGAAAACAGATTAACTTTTGCCTGTGGTCTTTTTATATTCTCAACATTTTATCTGTTCTTTTCAGCTCTGGTGGTGAGATTTCTGACCAGACGGTTCATCTGGGAGTACGACCCAACACTCGGTAAGGCAACCAGATATCTGTTTCTATTACTACGACCACTGGTACAACCATTACTACTGCTGCTGTCCATTTTTCTATGCAATGATGGGGAAAATGGCTAGTTTGGCTATCCTTGTGCCATCGCCTCCAAAGCTTATTACTTCTGGCCGCGTAGGGCCACTTTATAGTCTCTGCTGGCCCGGAAGAAAGATTTTCAGGACATAATTTGTCTTATTTATGGTTCAAATTCATGGTTTTACACTTATATAACATGTAAATGTTGTGTGAGCTTTAGAGGTACTGGTGATATTTTTTTAACCATTGAATAGAGCCAGGTAAGCCCTTGCTTCTAGCTTTTATGCTAAGTTAAGCAAAACACCTGTTAGCTGTAGCTAAATATTTAGTGTACAGACATGAGAGTGGTATCAATCTTTTCATCTAACTCTTGCAACATGTCCAACTATTCTCTTAAAATCTTACGGATTTTCATACAAGTACCTATTCTCTTAAAAGTTTTTGTTCCATTAAAAGGTTAAATGAATTAAAACCAGGAAAATGAAGTCATTAATCATGCAGTGAATTAAACGCATGTTGGTCATTGCAAAAGCTCAACTCTACACTTTTTGCCTTCAGCAGTGCATAATATAGAATTGGCCTTTTTATACACTGATGCAGATTGAGTCAGGTCCCTACACTGTAATTATGGGGCTCAAAGACATCACATCTCTGTATGGTGCTTTTCATTTCCTGGCTATATACACGGCAGGTCTCAGTGTCTCTCTCTCTCTCTCTCCGTGATATGAGGTGCAGCAGCTCAGCAGAGTGCAATTACCAGCAAAATACAGATCACACATGGCGGCATATTTTCTTTTTTTAGTCAATCACCTATTTATGTAACGACATGGTGATCACAATCTCATAGTCATCATCCCCTCTTTTTCACATCACAACATATGGGTGGCAGGTTGTTGAGGTGCTTTTAACTGCAAGGGCGACAATATAAGAACACTTCCAGCTACAGAATGACTTTATTTTGTTTGGCATAGATGGAATTTTAGGGCATGTGTTAGAAATAAAGAGATTAATTTTCTTTCCATAGAATATAGCAGTAAACTAATACTGTAGATAGATTTTTTTAACGTAGTATATTGTTATTGTGTGTACAGCTTCATACAATATTTGAAGTGTATAAACTTCAAGTAGTGTACCAAAAGAAGAAGCAGAAAGAGCGATAACTGCCTCCTTGGTTACCACAAGAGTTGGCGTCACAACCAAGAAAGCACAGCTTGAGGTGCATAATGGGAATAACAGCACCGTTGGGGGGTGTCTGTGACCAATCAGACTGCCCTGCTGAAATTACCCATGAAGTGGTCGACACATTATTATAACCCTATTATGGGCACATCACACAGGTGGGGGGTGTACGTGCAGAGTGCCAACCTTAGAAACGCAGGAATACTGCCAGAATGTGGGCTGCACTTTCAGTACGTACAGCTTACCATACATCTCCATTTATTATCTACCTATTTGTTTTGATCAGGGTCGTAAAGCTCAATGTTCTTTTCTACCACAAGAAATAACTAGTGTTCCAAGGCCTGCTGTGAAATTTAGTCCTCTGAATGCAGGGATATGTGCTGTGGAGGGTTTCATATTGGTAGACTTTGCTGATTAGCACATATCCATCAGTGCTTTGCACACAATTGGTCCAGCATGTCCTGCGTCTGCCTGAGCAGAGGTGTATTGTACAACTCTAAAGGCAAGCACCCAAAACACCATCAGTTGGCTCAAGTAAATGTGAAGTTCCTCCTGGACTGCTGATGTTCTCATCAGAAAAAATGAACAACATGGACACAGCTGCTTTCCAGAACACTCATACAGTTTTCATGACATGTACAATTCTGAAAAAAAAAAAATGGAAATGGGGCGCAAGGGCAAATAATAAGGTTTCTAATGTGAGAAATTCAGGATTAACTTAAATGAGAAAGAAACTCAAAAGCATTTTTTTTATTTAACAATAAGTCAAGCAAGCTAGTTAGGTTTAGTGATTTTGTTAGACATCAACTAGGTAACAGGTAGAACCCATCTGACATTGTGTATTTCTATTATTATCTAGCCGGATCAGCTGCGTGTAATTGACCCAGCACAACTAAAGGCCCTCCGCAAAGAAAGGAAAATACAAATTGAGGGACAAAATGTAGCAACGTTTCTGGTAATGTGCGTCAATGCAAAATTATACTTTCATTCAAAACGTATATTCATTTTTGATTATGCTGTTTCAGAGACCAAATTTACATTTTGGGGCACTAGTGACTGCGAAGGTGGGAGCTGGCCCATATACAAACACAAATCCAGCTATTATAGGTTCTTTCAGACACTTGTGGGTGACTTTACTGCCACCACGTCAGCAAAGACAGAAAATAATATGATAAACTATGTGACTCAACTTGTTTGTTGCACTAAATGCTGGCCTTACTGAAGCACATCATCAAACTGTGGTTGTCATCATTCTGTGTTCCTGCCTCATAATAAATGATGCAAAATGACATGAAAGTGCAGATGAGTAATGATTACACTTGCTGACTGTGTGTATGCATATGTTTAGGGCGTCTGCTAGCAGACACACTCCACAGATGACCAGTTGGATCCCATTCCCCATAGCACTTGGAGAAACAGTTGATGTTCAGAGAGCAGATAATAGCCATAATATTGCAATAGTCATTTCTGTCCCTGCCCACCATCCAGTTACAGAATCTAATTTCCTTTGGCACACAGAAATTAACTCTGACCTACTTCTGCTGGCAACAGTGAAAGTGCTTAATATTGTGCCACATAGTGCAGAGGGAGTTTCTGGTATGAACATTTTAGAAATAAAGTACTGTAAAGCAGTTGTAAAGAGCAAAATGATTTACTTCTGGGTGTTAGAGCAGTTTAGGGCAGCGAGCATCGCCAAGCTATATCGACAAGGTGGATTCTGTTTCCAGTTTTGACACTTTGAGTCTGACGTGCCACTTTCCCTTTTGACCTTCTGCCAAAACAGCCTACAGGCGGTGAGGAGGTTTAAATTACGAGGGATGAATTGCTTGCTGCCAGGAAAATTACTGCTTTTGTTTCTCTCCAAGACCTTTACATGGGATGGTGTGGCTGGTTAAATCATCCCAGTCCTGCCCTCTGTCAGTGGATTTAGCAACAAATACACGTCGGGGTGGATGTGGACAGATTTGGTGCTCCTTGCAGCTGACAGAGTGAGGACTCCTGAAATAGGCTGTCCCAAGGGTCACTGTGTGAGACTCTGGTTCTCCTCCTCACAGATGCTCCTCATGCCTCCAGCCAAACAGCTATAAATCGCCACTCTACTTCCGCCTCTGGCTCTCTGTGACATTTCATTTACGTCACAGGATGGAGTTTATCCCCTGGAGAGGTGAGCGCACCTGGGACACAGCAGGGTGGATGTGCAGAGACTGGAGCAACAACAAGCTCTTTTCAATGAGAATCTTAGTATTTTGCATCGTAGTTTGTAGTTTTGAACTTATCACTAAGCTATTTGACTACGGAAAGGACCAATCTAGCAATTTAGTGAAAAGGGTCATTTAAAAGTTTTATAATTAGTTCATCGTTAGACAGATTAGAACAAGCATCCTCAGCTTTAAACCCTTGCTCGCATCTGTGCTTGTTAGCCTGTAGATATTATTCCTACTGCCTGCAGTCTTTGGTGAGACTCACTGATAACCATTAAGACTACTTTCACTGCCAGTTAGTCTTTTGCATTTCTATTTAAAATACTTTTACTGTCTCTGGGTCATTTCTTTATTCTGATTGTTGGTCATTAAACAACATACAACCCCGCCAATGAACAATGAATGTTACACAGGAAAAGTTCAAAATGAAAGGAGGAACAAGATGTAGTTATTCTCCTGAAGAAAGTCTGGTGATTTTTATTTTAATATTGATTTCTCTTTCTAAGCTTTCTCATATTCTCCCTTCAAGAAAAGAACCATGAATCAAGAAAAGGCTGAGCAGAGAGGACATGAGTCACAAGCTGAAAGCAATTGTAAGGTTTGGTTCACAAAGCCAAAAAGCTTGAGAAAGCGACGGCTTAAGCCCTCTGGTTGAGATGCCGGCAAAATCCAGCAGAATCTTTCACTTTACAGGGAGGGTTTCAGGGGCTTCAGTGCTCTCTGCGAGGTGTTTACACAGATGGGATTTTTACAAGGGGGCAATTCAGGCAGATTACTCCTGTGCTGTCCAAGGTGAAAAGAAAGGTCACGGTCACAGTTCACACCTGTGTTCCTGTGCCAGGAATAACAGGCTTTTCAAATAAGCTAGAGGTGAAGCACAGGTCATTTTAGGTCATTGCAGGAGTCAGCCATCATCCAGAAGGATCCTTCCTGGTCCAACAATCAGCAAAAAAAAAACTGAAGCATTTGGCTCCAAAATGTGGACGTGATGTCCTTTTTAAACAGCCTGTCTGAGCCAGGCAGAAGCCAGCGTGTCTTCTTGTTTTGACCTCTAATAGAAGCTCTCTGCCTTGGGCATGAAAATGCTTAACCAGTGACTGCAGAAAAACAGAGATGTCCATATCACACAGGGACATTTTAAAGCCAAATGCATTTGTCGTGGCTTTTTCAAAGTAGGCACCAGTACTGATCGATAGCAAGGGGCAAAGTTTATATAGGCAATCTGTAACCTGGAAGGTCTGGGAAATTGCAGCATGGTAACCAATCTGACATCCATTGTTGATTTAATATGAATAAATGTGATTCTAAAGAACTGAAGTCGTGCTTGCATTAGCTGATCAGCCATGTTGATGCAACATCTGGTCAGCCATCGCCTGATTAGTAACCTCTAATCACATTCATAAATGATTCTGACCTTGGTGAAAGCCTCACAGAGCCACTAGCTCGGGGTTAAATCCTGGACATGAGGGTCTATGGCTAAGAGAGACGTTTTGATCATCAAATATAGATGTCTGCTGTGTATTTATGATGCTTCTTTTCAGGTCAATCAGTGTTTTAGGCCAGTCACTTTAATAGTAAAGAAGCTTGAGTGAGTTGATTCATGTAGGTTTCACAAATTAATCAATGCAAGAAAAAGTTTTGCATGCAAAAGTTTTACATGGAGTAATCATCAGTTTAATGTGTGAGCCTCTGAATCATTCAAAATAATAGTAGGCGGAATCATTTTCACCACTTCAATGCTGATGAAAAGTCTGCCTACCTTCATAGTGATATGTAATTTAGTAAGAAAAGCATTACATTGAGTTTTATTTCCATGTTAGGAGTCAGCTGTCTCTACTATCAAAAATTGATTCACTCTTTTTTTTTGGTCTGTTGTGTCTTACAGAATCAACATATCGCCATCAAGCCAACATTGACGATGAGGTTGTCACCATGGAGATTCTGGACACTGCAGGGCAGGTGAGATAAATGATGTCCTTAATCCGACCTTGTGTCATACATTTGTATTTGAGTTGTTACTCAAGAATGTGTTACACATCACTAGTGACTTTTTTTAAAGTAATGCATTACTTTACTTAATTACTCCCCGTAGAAAGTAGTTTGTTACACTCCCCACTCCCCTCACTTGCCTGAGATGCACGTAATATGAACTGCATTTAGCAGCCAGACTCGCTCCAGTCGCTCGCTTATCAAACTAAAAAATTAAACTCATTTTCTATATGATTGAATTGTTAATATTATGAAATGAATAATTTTAGGCTTCAGAAATAAAATCTTGCCATGACAATGAAACATGTTCAGCAGGCACAATGGACATGAGGTTGAGCTGACATACACAGCAAAAACTATCCATATAACATTCATTTTTTAAACGTAAGATGCTTCCACTTGTTTTTAATATAAATCAACTTGAATGCTCGGGTTTCATCTTGCCCTTGCTGTCTTTCGTTGGAGATATTTGACTCCAATGAATTTTGGAAAGACACTAGTTTGAAGAATTGTAGTACGAGTTAAGAGGCTGAATGGCACTTTCAGGTGGTAATTTCCTACAGTCTGACAGGAGCATTGCAGGGTCCTGGCCATGAGGGAGAGCTTGCGTAAGTCCTCTGGCTGAAGATAAATATGCTGCAGTGCTGCGTAGGTGTTGTGCTGACAGCTGATTTCCCCTGTGACACTTCAGCCAAGTCATCTCTCTCTCATTACATTGTAGTCTATTTTCAGCTGGCATTAGGATGAAGTCGAATGTTTCCAGACATGGCTGCGTTGGATGTCAGGCCTCTCCTGACTCTGACTCTATCAAAGCATTGTGCTACTGCTATCATGATTTGTGGAGGTGGAGTCTTGCTGGTAGCTCATAAATTCTGAGTTCAAAAGTCGGTCAGGTATACAAACGTCAAACTTTCTCATCTGTCCTCTGGAGGGATGTGGTACTTTTAAGCTTACTCTATCAATAAGTATGAAATCAGGATCTGTGTGCCTCCCTCCAGTCAGGTTACGATTTAAAGTCAGCCACACAATCAGTTACATCCTGTTATTAACCGGGCAGGCCGTTGCTGCTTCAACATGATCAAATTAGGAGCACATGTCTGAATGTTCACGTTCCTCAGATGGCTGCAGAATTAAATTTCTGTCTTAAGCAGAAGGGAGTAGAGAGAAAGAGACAGGAATTAAAAACAAATGTTTCTTCATAAACAGACTAGATGTGTTACATGCGCTGAAAATACATTTTAATGAGTTTAAAAACTTCTCAAAACTGGAGTTACAGTTCAGTTTAATAGCAAATTCTTTGTCTTCATCTCAGGAGGACATCCAGCAGAAGGAGGGTCACATGCGCTGGGGCGACGGATTTGTCATCGTGTACGACATCACGGACCGGGGAAGCTTCGAGGAGGTGGCGCCGCTCCGAAGTCTCCTAGAGGAGGTCAAGAAGCCCAAAAACGTGCCTCTGGTCCTTGTGGGCAACAAGTCAGATCTGGACCACGTCCGGCAGGTTGGCACAGAGGAAGGCGAACGGCTGGCAGCTGAAATGGCGTGCGCCTTCTACGAATGTTCAGCATGTGCCAACGAGGGTGGCGCCGTGGCCGAGGCTTTCCACGAGCTGTGCCGCGAGGTGAGACGCCGCAAGGCCGTGCAGGGCAAGGCCAGACGCCGCAGCTCCACCACACATGTTAAACAGGCCATCAACAAGATGCTGACCAAGATCAGCAGCTAGGGAAGAGCCACATTACCGTCTGATGACAGAAGAAATGTAAATTTTTCTCATGTAAATGTTTCAAGCAATTATTGGCTCTGAAATGGACAAAATGTGACTGATTTAATGTGTAATGTTTTCTTTACTTTTTCTCTGATCATTTACAATCAAAAAGGTTCCAAGTGCAATGTCTTTTTCCTGCAAGAGGTAAATGATGTTGTCACTTCAACATAGGAGCCTTAATGGATGATTTCTCGTCCAAACATTTGATCAAAATAATCCTGGATACTGGTGAGATATGAGATGTTTAATGATGAATCGTTGATATGGTGAGGTTCTCAACTTTCTTTTATCCTCTCATTTAACTCTTTAAATAAGCCAGATGGCAGTCTGAAAACGATGCATGCAAGCTGTCCTATTTAGCATGCAAAGAATCCAAGCATTTATTGACGTTGAATGAGAAGATTCGTAGTTTCCTCTCTGTATCTTGTCTGTAGGGGGATATTGTGATGTACTTTGGCCCATGTGTGTAACTGTTCCGTCAGCAGTGGTCAAAGAAAAATAAGATCAGAGAATTACTATTAGATAATAGTAGATGCACTGTTCTTCGCCCATGTCAGCCCAAGAAAAATCCTAAGAGTTGTCAACGCCTGTCCTTCAAAAAAACCTTGTCCACAGCGTTCTGTTGACATTAAATGTTCTGCAGCGGCTCCGTGTTTGTCCATGACGTGTGTACTCAAGATCTTTTCCTCAAGGAACCAGAGCGCAGGTCCACAACCTTTTTAAGCCCATGAAAGAACATTTTTGCCATTTTCTCTAAACTAATCCATGCCAACATGTTAACAGATTCCAGGTATGTTCTTCATGGCTATAATTTGAATACTGTAAACTACAGTATGTATGATATGGTATATTGCCTTAAGCACTGCTGTGTCTTAGGTGTGTACAGAACCCAAAGGCATCTACAGTAGAAGATACTGTAATTGTTGAAATGTAATATGTCTTTTTCCTTATGTATGTGACCTATAAGATGAAAACAACCAGCTGTGCACTTGTAATTAAAAACTGAGATATATCCCACTAGGTTTTCTTTTAATGCGTCCATATGTCTGGTTGACTACAATATAAATGTCATTGCTTGGTTCATGATGTTCCAAAGAAGCACTTAGTGGTGTACTACGTCTATGTTTCAGGTAATAACCATTGTGATTGATATAGATGCCTTCAGCCAGACCATCAAATGTCACATTTACATAGTGACAGTCTCCAGACGGGAGAACAGGGACTATATATTTTATATCCAACTCCTGAAACTCGGCTTCATCTGGCTTTCTAAGGCTCATGCCAACATTTTGTTCTGATGTTCAAGTTTAAGATCTCAACCTTTTCCCTGTTCCATGTCACATTACTCAACAAAACTTAAGTGCACAAACAATAAAGGAAGACAGTAAAATATTCCCCTCAGGATTTCCATCCTGTTTTAGCTGAAAGTAGGGAGAAGGCAGAGAACACAGGGTAAAAGCTGATATTAGTGAAAAGTGTTTTTGGGGTGATCCAGCTTCAAAATCGTTTTGATGCTGCACTGACAACGATTCCTCTGTCATTCCCACTCTGCCAGACATACAGTACGCTTGTTCTTGCAATATATAATTTTGGCATCCGAGTCTGGTGAAGTTCGTTTAAGGCCCTAAGTCAAACACCACCGACTATGTCACTGATTTTGGTGTAACTGGATCATCAGTTTCATGATAAACAGTAAGCTTTACTTGTTGCTAAAGTAAGTTAACCACTGACTGCTGCTAACTGTCAGCTAGTTTGCTCAGTTAAAAACCGAGTTTTTGTTTACACTGTTAGCATCAGAGTTTTGGATCGACTGGAGGAGGAAGTTTTCAGGCTTGGTGCGAGAGCCAGCAGGGTGTGCTGACAGGCAGTGGCGCCAGAGTCGCACCAGAACTGGAGCTGGGCAGGCGGGCAATGTAACCGGGCTCAGCATATGGCCATCATAGCAGACATTTATACAAAATATTACAGGAGACTTTTTAAGGAAAACTGCAGTATTTTTTTTTTTTTTTAAGTAAAGCTGTTGAATATATTTAAATGACTAAAAACAACTACCACTAACTGAATGTAGTATAACTGTAGTATACCAGTATTTATGACTCCCATCAACAATCCCTTTTGTAATTAAACAAAATATCCATGTTGCAAATAATTCTCTGTATACACGTTGATTTATACACTACCTATATTGCTGACTCAGGGTGAGGACACAAAAACTGCTTTCTTTAGTTTGGGTGAAGCAGAAAGAAGTGGCCCATCTATCTGGCAGATAATTACTAGAGGCAAAAATCCCATAATAACCAGGGAAAAGAGCCATAGTGCTCCTCCTCTGCCTGACCAGTTGGAGACAAGTCTGCAGACAAGGCAGTCCCAGTTTTCCTATTCCTATGAATTCTGACTGTTTAAAGAGGTTTTAAAACCAGTTGTGCTAACTTTCTGTTCCAGCACATAAAGAAACTTCAGTCAGAGAAGTAATTCATTACCGTAAAAGAGAAGGTGACAGTCTTGCTGTGTCACACACAACATAAAGATGACTGGATGTGGTAAGATTGTTTTTTCTTCTTCTGACACAGCAGGTTGGTGGGCAGGTCGATCAGCTCCTATCAGCCTCCAGGGGTTTTGAATGCTGCGGGAGCTTTGACCTTCCGCTGTACCGGCCAAAGGGTCATACTCCAGATTTCATGCCCCAGGTGGCCGATAGCCTCTGTAGCCTTTAGTGTGAGCCGAGAGTGCTCACAGACCCACACTAATGCACATGGTTTCTCCACAGCATTAAAATAAATAAAATATTAATAGTATTTGTATCAGACAGAAAGTTTGAGCAAGCAATATCTCTGAAAGCCAGCCTTTGTTTGTGGTGGACAATAATATCCACAATAAATAATGGGATGATTGCATTCCCCAACTAAGCTAAAAGCAGTAAGTGATTTTTTGGGCCAAAAACATAACACTGAATTACAATATTATCCAACTACTATAAAGTTGACATGGATAATGTTTTACCAAATAGATGCTTATTTACACATTCATTTGACATGGAGCAACAATAGCAGTCATTTGTAGTTGCATTTCTGGCTACTCCATTGAATGTAACTCCAATATTTACTCTCACTTTAGCTCTATTTTGATCTCTAACTCCTGAGTAAAATATCTGGCTCTTTGGCAGCTAAATGCTAAATGTTCAGTTTTTTCCCAAATAGTTAACACCTCTTTAAAAGGAAACAATTGGAAGTGTAGTCATGGAGATTATTCTTTTTTTTTTTGTTGCCAGGTGTCAATATCTTTAAACATTATTATTTGTAAAATAATTTAAAACCTGAATTGACAAAGATTTTGTTCACTTGGGGGACAACGAAAACAATCTACATAACACTGACTTATCAGAATCAAGTTTTTTTGTATGGCCCTTCGGGAGAGGCGGTAACTAACTAAAACACACACCTTATAAAGCTGTAGGTAGTTTACATTTTAGCAAATAATTGCTAATTTACACATCCAGTACATATGGAGTAACATTAGCATTTATTTGGAGTTGTTTCTGGCCACCTACTAAACGTAAAAACAATATTTCCTCTCCTCGTAGCTTTGGTTTAGTCTCTACTAACTCCTGAGGGAAGTGTCTGGCTCTAAATGCTCCACTATGTTCAATAGTTAGCCACTAATTTTGTCATTTGATGCTGGCCAGGTAGCTTACAGGGGTTTATTACAGCATTTTAGCTGAAAACAGAAGCTCGAAATGAGACTGGTGAGCCTGCTGTGACTGAAGAAAAAGGGTAGAAGTGCTGAAAGATGCTAAAAAACTCTGTATAACAGAAGGGAAGTGCAGTGCCATGTGATAATTCTCTGTGGATCCATCACTAGAAGCAACCCCTTGCACATTAAAACCAGTTATTTGACTCATTGTTAATATAAAAATATTGATTAGTGCAACTTTAATATTTAAAATGTCCCAATTAAATTATCATATATGGAAAAATAGAAGTTACTTCAATATAACTCCAGTTCTAGGAGTATGTGCATCGCCTCCAACTGTTGATATGGCTGTAGAGAAAAGTGCTTAAGATGCCCCAGAAGGGAGGGGGCTGGTGTGTGTATCCTCTCCTCAATTTCCTGCCATGCTGTGATGCTCTGAAAGTTAGTGCGAAGCGGGGTCGGGAGTTCGAGGCACTGTGGGCCCACTCGTGGAATTCCATCGCTCTGAAGAAAGACATACACACGGTGGCTTCATTGTAACAGACTGGCTGCAATGGGTAAAAGGCACTCTATTAGGACAGTGGAGAGCGATAAGGATACTGTGGGGGAATGATAGGAGTGAAGCACAATTTATCCCACATGGTTCTCATTGCAAACAGGTTTTTTTCTCCTGGGTAGATGTGACGCAGGCACTGCCGGGCATGAAGACGTGTGACTGCAACTTGCTGGAGTTTGAGTTCGCGCAGTTCTCATCTCTTACATCGATATAAGGTAGACGGGTGGATGGGGCAGTCACCAAATGCAGTGACTAACGGTGGAAACAGAAGGAGAAAAAGACACTTTTTGACCAGAGGAGGAGATGAGATATTCAGGGCATGAGTGCCATAACTGGTGAAAAATCTGGCCACATTACCCAGGCAAAGATTAGTTTTAGATTTTTTTTTTTATTGTTACCCAGCAGCAGGTTTTATCTTCAGAGATATTTTCATGATCTCACAGACATCTACTGTCTGCCTGAAACATTTGCCTGGGGAAAAAAAACATTTAAATCAAATTTTCCACACAAAGTGTACAGTCACGGTCCGGCCATAGCTTGGAGAGCAGAAGAGCAGAGAAGAAATCAAACAGTGTTCTAACATTAGTTTTGCCTAACCCCGTATAGGACAGTCTCATCCATTGAGTGGGAGACAGTGAAACATGGTGTTAGAAAACACTTCTGATAAAATGTAAATCTGAACTTTACGTGGCTTGTCCAAGTACGTTGTGAAATTGATCACTTTTGCATCACAAATGTAACTTTTAAATGAAAAAAATATTAAAATCATGATGATGTTTTTGGGGGTCTGTTTCTTTTTAACCATCATAATAATGCATTTTACCTTTTTGTTTAAAATTGCAGCTTCCGTGATTTGCATATTGCACATTGGCATATTGCGATTTCGATAATATTGTGAATAATAATAATAACAACACCTTCACATGAGGGGTGAATAGATAAGTGGTCTACTATAATATTAGAGTGCAGACAGGCCTCATTTTATATACTGTTAATGTGAGCTTAACAAACACTTATGCATCTTTCTTCTAATCTTATCTCTCTAAAATAAAATAAAGCTTAAAAACCTGGGGATACTGTAACTGTGTCTACGGTACATATCATAGCAGTGCACGTTGGAGCTCATGTAAAGTATCCGGTCAGTATTCACAGTTCATTGGAAACTGTAGAAAGCCATCAGCCAACAGGTGGACAAACAGGAAGCTCTGTCCACGTGCAGGAGCGCCAAGTCCTGACCACCTCTACTGCAGCGACCACACACCATCCACAAATCCACAAACACTCGTAAAAACTATTTTCTTCTCGACTACAAATGTCCACATGAATTCAGTTTATAGGCAGCGGCCATACTCACTCAGACAGTGGAGCAGAATACGTTTCCCACTCGGGTTCTTCTCATGAAAGCTAACAGTAGTGAGGGCAACAGCTAACTAGCAACATGACACAAAATGGCTCCACGGAAGGCTTGTGTTCCCGTTTTACAGGGTTATAAAACAATACAGAACTTCTGGTTTTTACATTAAGTAACATACAGTAACTTAACACACTTTACAGAATGAAAAAACAGTGCTTGGTCTTTTCCCTCGCTCCTCCCCGGTTACCTGAAGTCCCACCCACTTAGGAACGCCAGGTAACAGTAGTCACTGATTGGCTAATGACCGACACCTGACTAACCAATATACAGCATGATGGGTTCAAGGACTATTGTAAACGGAGGACACTTCTGATAATTCATAATATTATGATGTAAACCCATTGACAGTATATATAA